TGAATTTCCAGCTCGTTGCAGAACTGAGCCTCAGAGCTCTGGATTCGGGTTCACGGCTCCTTTCCCCGAGACACCGGGACATCCCAAACCGAGCAGGAGGTTCGGTTTGTGTCGGGACACAGCCCCGACCGCAGGGCAGATCCCAGGGGAGAGGCAGCCTGAGATCATTTAGGAACACCCCACGCCAGCCGGTGTTTTTGCCATGCCTGCGCTCTCCCAGTTTCATTCCAGGCACTGTTAAGGAAACAGGACTCTGGTCCCAAACAGGGGAAACCCGGAGCAGAGTTATGGTCGCGGGACGTTTCTCGGCACCGCGCTGCTTTTCAGGGAATTCCCTTCCCATTCATTAACCATCCACCTCCATTTCCAAAGCCGGCCTGCTCGGTCCCACAGGCGCGTTACGCAAGCTCGTCTCGGCGCTGCCGACGTGCCGCCGGCGATAAGGAGGAACCGAACACCAGCACCACCTTCACCGGCTTCCCGCGAGGACAGGGATGCGGAGCGGAGCAGGCTCACGCTTTTTTCACGTCGCACAAGCCACGCAACGTTCTTCCTGGAGGAGGGGAGCGTCGCCCTCCACCGTCCTCCCGGAGCCGAAGGGTGGGCACAGCGGGAGTTCAGCACAGGGCATGCACCCAGAGCAGCCTCAGCCAGCGCTTGGAAGCCTCAGAACCCAACCTGCTCTCCAGGTGAGGGCTCGGAGCCGCCCTGGCTCACTTGCCCTCCACGTACCTGTCCAACAACCTTCACAAGGGGTGGGTGTCCAGCAAAATGGCAGCTTTTTCCTTAAAAAGCAGCACGTGGTCAGCCCTTCCAGCATCACCTTGGGAGAAGGTGCCAGGATGGGGCTAGAACAGCAGTGGCTACTGTCAGCCCAGTCAAGAGGCTCCCTCTGACCTCCCCAGAACGTCGGGTTCCAAGGAGCATTCCCTGTTCCCTGGAACGGCCGCCCTGTTCCCCGGTGCTGGAAGAACGCAAGCAGCACATGGAGCGGAGGGAAACGATCCGGAGGCGGGTAGGACAATGAGCAGCTCTCTGCAGGGGGAAGAATGACCGTCCTTGTGGGCAGGCGTCTGTCTCCACCAGTCGCCGACCGAAACGCGGAGCCGCGGGCTCGGCTGACCCCTCGCCACGCCGGCAGCGAGGCGCGCGGTGCTGGGGACGGGGCGATGGAGATGAGGTCCCCCGAGATGGCAAGCTGAGCATCTGCGACACTTCGCAGCCAGGCAAGGACGCAGGAGAGCTGAGGTCCAACACCCCAAATGTTGCAAGAAGCAGCAGTTCTGCAGCCGAGCGTCTTTGCCCAACCCCTTGTGGGTCCCTCTCCAAACATTTCCCTGCCTGCCACAGCCAGCCCGCCCTGGAGAGCCAGAATCAACCTTAAACCTCAGAGGACGCACCCCTGGCAGGTAATTACGTGACAGATCACATTATCCAGGAAAAAGACTGCCAGTCTCCCCAGTAAACGCAACAAAAGAGGCAGGGAACCCAAAGGAAAAGAGACGTTTTACAGTTATTTCCCCATAAAGGGAAAAGAAATTCCAGAGATGGGAAGCTACGCTTCAAGACATCTGCTCCCTTTGCTTTTACAGCCCCGGCAGACGTCCTCCGCGCTGGGTGTAGAACAGGAGATACAAACAGGAAAGCTCACGCCAACAAAAGAGCAACTTCCTGCTTGATCTTCACACGGGACCGAGCTATTCCGGGCACATCAATAAAAAACTATCCCAGCGCATGGGAATAGCTGCAAAAAAATAACTGAGCACAGCGAGGGCGAAGACGGGCACGTCTAAACCAGACCGTGTCAAAACCAGTCCACAACAAACCAGTGTGCCTCCATCCTGCAGAGAGCCTTGCTACCGATGGTCACAGAGAACCCGGAACATCCCGAAAACCCCGTCCAGGCCGATACTAACCACGAACTTCTCGCCGTTCTGCTCCACGTGCTTGTAGGTGGGGATGGAGATGGGCACAGCCTGTTTCTCCGTGTAGTCGTAGAAGGACTGGCCCAGAGAGTCATCGCCGGGATCCAGATTATCCGCCTCGTGGGGAGGCACGGACAGCACCGTCAGGATCAGCTCCTTCTCTCCCGCGCGGATCAGGTCCACCACTTGCTTGTGCGTCGCTCCTTCGACGTTCACCCCGTTCCTGCGGAAGAGAGAGCGGAACAGCCGTGAGCACGGCGGGGCGACCCGGGAGC